ATGGGGTGACCAGATGTTAAAATGCCCACAGCTATGGAGCATGTCTTATCCAAACCACTAGTCTATTAAGGAACACACCAGTGTTTGAGAATTTCATACATGTATATGTGTTGGTGTAACCTTTCTTAACACCGTGTGAAGGTATGTCTGTATTTTCAGTTGTTAATTCTGTACTGGCAGAGAGCTGAGTGATGGCAGAATTCTAGTATTTTCATTTCTATGTCCATCACCAGGTTTCTATTTTATAAATGTCCTTCCTCCCAGACTAAAGGCAATCTAGTGATGTATCAGAAGTTGTCTCACTGCTGACTGGTTGTAATAAACATCTGACAGCCAATAACTAGAGCAGGAAGTAGAGGACAGAACTTCCAAACAGAGAGAGTGACACAGGGAGAAGACAAGGAAAGGAACAGACATGGACCCTAGCAGAGAGAGGTATAGAGCTAGCCATGTGTTGGTCACAGGCTAGGTGGTCAGGTTAAGTTAAAATGGCAGCTGGGAGACTGCCCCAACAAAAGGCCTAAACTTTAAACTATGATAGAAGTCTCGTGTCATTACTGATCCTTCAGGCAGGTCTGAGAAAGTCCCATAATACATACATGCATTTTGATCCAAGTTACTCCACTCCTTCCCCTGCAATTCTTTCTCTACCCCCATCATCGCATTTCCCTCACAACTTCATGTGTTTGGTTTTCTTTTTAACTACTCAGTTCACACAGTGGTACCTGTGTGTGCAAGCTGTAGAACCATCTACACACAGCGCAGCTACTAAGACTAAGTCCTACTCTTGCAGAGAATCTGAGTTGGTTCTAGCACACATCAGGCCCACATCAGGTGGTACAGAACTGCTTGTTACTCCACCTTCCCAGGGATCTGTCCTGCACTGTGCACATATATATAATTTTTAAAATAATAATAAAACAATCTAAGTTAAATAACAACAAAAGCAACAATTCAATAGATATTACAATGCAAATGTGATTAGCCACAATGGAGAATATTGTCAACCAACATTCAAAATAAATCCAAAGAATCCAAGTCAAAATCATATTCACATTTCTTCTACGCATGTGTGTGTGTGTGTATGTGTGTAGATGCATAGGTGTACTACAAAAGCATTTTAAGAATAACAGGAAAGCTTTTATTTCTGTGTATGTAGATCATCTTGATTTAGAGATATAGGTAAAAAGTCTTCCAAACTGTTTCATGAGTAAAATAATATTTTGAATGAAAGAATGTGCTACTTGGAAATCTTGTTACAAAACCTTTAAATATTCATCTACTAAATTGGTTGAAAAAATAAATTTAATTCTATATTACATATGTATTTATATCTGGCTTAATAAAAATGAGATCCAGCTCTAAACATAATTAATATGCCTCATTAGTTCATTCTTTATTCACAAATGCTTATTTATACGATCATTATGAAATAAGAATATAGAGTAAAGTTCAAATCCACAATTTGTTTTGTTTTGTTTTGTTTTATTTTGTTTTGTTTTGTTTTGGGTGGTAAGGCTAAAACCCAGAGACCCATGCACTCAAAGCATTTTTTCAACCAGTGAGCTACATATAACACTCCTCCCAACACACAGCTTACAATTCTTCAACCTAGAGTTCCATATTTTTGGATCCTCCTGTACAACCAACACTGACTGCATAAAGTTTAAATAGACCTCTTTACTAACAAGAAAAGGCTGTCATTGAATTCTTCCAGTTCTTCTCAAGCCAAGTTTCTTTAACAACTCATAACAGCTAGTAATTTGACTCCATCACTGAAAATCTTAAAAAGCCACAAAATCAGATTTTAATTAATATAGCAGCTACCCAGGATATTTTACAATTTCCATGATCTTGTTTCCATCTGTTGACCAACACAAGATTATGACAATGAATCCACAAGTCAGATTAACAAGGATTATCACACTATAACTATCTGTAAGTGAAAAGAAGACTATAGAGGAGCTGATGAGATGCCTCAGTGGTTAAGTTCACTGGCTGCTCTACCAGAGGACCCAGGTTCGATTCCCAGTACCCATATAGTAGCTTACAACAATCTGGAACTCCAATTTCAAAGATTCCTACGCTCTCTTCTGGCTTCTGCAGGCACCAAGCATGTGGTGTAGAAATATACAGGCAGGTAAAATACCCAAACACACAGAATAAAAAACTATTTAAAGATGATTGGAGAACAGGTTAGAACCACCACTGTGCTCACTTATCATAACCCCAGATGTCTTTTATTTATTCATCTTCTTCTCCTCCTCCTCTTCTTCCTCCTCTTCCTCCTCTTCCTCCTCCTCCTTCTTCTTCTTCTTTTTTTAGAACAGGCTTCTCTATTTAGCCCTGACTATCCTGGAACATCTATGGAGACTAAGCTAGCCTCAAACTCAGAGAGATCCACCTGCCTCTCTCCCAAGTGCTAAAGGAATGCATCCCCCCCACACACACAACAGATATCTTGCTAACTGTAGTAGGCAACAGGTCTTACTATAACTCGCTGAGGCACACGATCAACAGCATCAAGAAGTGAAGGGACTAGACAGTGTGAACTTCATGATGGAAAACAATATTAAGTATAATTTATCAGGTATTCTTGTTCTTGAACTCTTTAAAACTAGTTTACAATCAACAGCTAGTTTAAGTAGGGCAGAGAAAAGACCTACTAGTTGGCTTCACTAGAAGGAAAATTTCTGACAAATGCAAAATGTGAGTCATTTTCTATGATAACTGAATTCTTGGTCTCTATGTTATTTTACAAGGAGGGTTAGGGTAGTTTATATTAGAAGAGATTCAAAAGAGTTAAACAAATGAAAGGAATAAAACTTTGACGAGATCAGGTTTGGGTAAGAAAGGCTGTATACAATGCTCTAAAAAAACTTTCAGGACAATTTGAGAGATGTAAATATTAGATTACACTGAGGAAGGACTGGAGAGGTGGCTCATCAGTTAAGAAGAAGCACCAGCACTGGCTGCCTTGCAGAGGACTCGGACTTGGTTCTCAGCACCCATCTGATGGCTCACAACTACCTGCAACATTATTTCTAGATCTGATGCCCTCTTTCGACCTCCAAAGGCAGTAGTCATGCACACATACATATAAGGTTTTTGTGTTGTTTTCTTTTAGTTAAACTAAGGATTTATCATGTTGAAGAAAATAAACAGTAATAGTACCATTGTCTTTAGGCAAAGCAAGCTGACACAACAGGTGTGAAGTCTCATAATGTCACCAGCTTAGCTTCAAAAGGTTCAACCAAAATTAATATACATCAACTACAGCAAGCTATCAACAAATGTTGAGTGGAGAAGGTCACCATACAGGGCTGTTTACCACTAATAGATTTTCTTTATGGTTATACTGCTTTCATGATAAAAAGTTGTAGAGGAGAGACGTAGAGAGCTCTGGTTTTCCAAAGTGGGAAACAAGCAAAAGCAGAAGCACACTAAATGCAATGCAGCATCTACTAATGTATGTCTGTCCCTTTGGCAGCGTTCAGCTAAGGAGCACCACTCCACCTAAAACATCACATAAGAGATTCCGTCTTAATACGTCATTATTGAAGATAGGCTCCTGACAGCTAGTTTTTCTAACCAGACACACTGAAGACATGGCTAGACAATCATTCTACAACACCAAATTAAACCCATCACCAAACGTCTGTGTCCTAACCAAACAAACCAGTCAGTAAGTCACTCACCTGTTAACTCTGTAAATGTGCTCTCTTCCTGACACATTACTACAAAGACAGTCAACTACAAGTTTTCTTCAAGGTGTAATATACTAATGAAATTTGAGAATTATAATTGAGCACTTGTAGTTACATGAAGCTTCAGTTACTCAAAAGGCATTGATCAGCACTTTCTTCTGTAAAGAGGTCCAGCTCTGCTTGCTCACTAGCCAAACAGTACAATGTGGTACTAAAACGTGAATTTTCTGTCAGCTTGTTAACTAATTAGTAGTTTGCATAGATTCATAAATCATACCAACAAATGATCACTTTCTGTGACATTTTACACATTGGCTTTTGATATTAAACCCTGAATACTACATAAGACAATGCAAAGTCACTATGAATACTGACACTGCCACATATTCTAGCAACAAAGTTTGCAATAAGGAATTCTCAAGCAAAGAAAATAATCTAACTGTGAGTTTCCTATACACATCAACAACAACGTGTAAAAACAAAACATAACCTCAAGAAATGTGCAGTTTTATCAAGTGTATTTCTTTTCAGTAAGATGATAAATTGTTTTTCTATACAGTCCTACTGTACACATAAAAGGATGCACAGAACCACTTTTTTCACAAGTAATGTCTTTGAAAACTAAAATGACTGGGGACAAGCTGCAACAAAATATGTATCCAGCAACTTAAGTCAAAAAAGTGTAAACGATATCTCGCTAGGTGTTTTCAAATTTACAACGAGGGACAAACTCTTCAGCCAATCTCATTTCCCTAACGCACTTAACTTTTGCAGGATGGAGAAACGAAGACCCTATAGAAACATATCCGCTTCTTCAATAACCACTTGCATGACCTTGGGAAGTTATACCTTTATCTCACTGAGCCTTGATTTTTCATTTTTAAAGCTGGTAGAATGTATATTCGTCTCGCAGGGCTGGGAAGGTGACAAGGGTTGATATACAAGTATAAAGAGCAAAGTATACGCACACGGAGAGCTGGCCGACCGCTCCAAGGTAAGGGGAAACAACCTCCATCAACAGCCTGCCACTCCGACAACCCAAAGACAAGCACTTTTTTAGGTTTAAAGCACGTCGGTCTCAGCTTCCCTTCGATCAGCTAGTTGCAACCTTCTGGTTAGAATAAAATTCCCGCGGAGCACGAGTCTAACAGTTTCCCAGCCCACGTTGCACTGACCTAGGGGTTCTGGGGTCAACCCCAGCCTAGCAGGGCTATCCCCACCCCGAAACCCGCACCCCCTGCAGCGGAATTCCCGTCCCTGGGCCCAGTCGCACGCAGAACCAAAAGCACTTACCGGCCGCTGGACGGGGATCGCCGAGCCGAGGGCCGAGAGGAGGCCACCGAGCTGGCCTCTCCGCCTCCGCACGGCCTGTCACCGCGCCCCCCAGGAGCAGCGCCTCGCGGGGTCCCCGAGGCCTGAAGGGCCGCAGCAGAAGCCGGGCACGGACCGGGGACCAGGCCCAACCTGCCTCACATGGGACAGCGGGCTTGCAGCCCGGGGCCTCTTCGCCGCTTCTGGGTAGCTGCAGCCCCGGGGCCCGCGGAGTACGCTGGGCCGATGAGGAGGAAGCCCCGGGCCCGCGTCGCCGGTGACCGGAGAAGCAGCGAAGCGGAAGCAGCGACTCTGCCGCCGGATCGTCCACTGTGGGTCGTCTCTGTCGCCGGTCGTGCGACCCGGGAACGCCGCGCCACCCTCGCCAGGCGATGCAGCTGAGGACAGCCGGGCCGCCACTACACACAGACCCGTGATGTCTGGCGTAGCACGGCGGCGCACGTCACGGCGGCTCGCTCGTGTGCGCGCAACCCCTCCTCCCGCCGAGAGCGGAACCCGCCGCATCCGCGCGCCCGGCAGAGGCGAGCCAGCAGGCGCCTGCGCAGTCTCTGCTCGGCGCATCACACCCGGCTCCGCCCACCCAGGTCTCCTCACCCACCGCGCGACGTTTCCAGGGCTTCAGACAGGGGTGCGCGCGCAGCGGGCTGAGTTTTGCGCTTGCGCATAATGTGGACTGTCAGAGATACGCGGAAAGGGTTCCCCTGCACCAACCCCCACTCACAGAGAAGGGAAGACGGGACATCGCTGAGAGGCGGTGACTTTAGAAATCACTGTACTGATTTTGAACCACCGCCTTGGTCGCAAGCTAAATTTTAAGTGTTTTCTGGTTGGTCTAGTACGTTATTACTTATCCATGGTAAACCATAGATGGCTTGACATCACACTCTTAGAACAAAAGATCGTGAAATCTCTTTAACCAATGCCTTCTCTTGATCCCCTTGGCCCAAGAGATAAAATACAGAACAGATTAATCTGTGGGCTAGCTAGCCCTGGAGGCTCTCTGTGAGATGACCGCATCCTGAGGTTTTTACATGACTCAAACCCACAAAACACCTTTCCTGCTCTGTCTCCAATAACCTTTACAATTCCCTGTAGCATTCCTCCTTGGTTATCAGAATAGTCTGATCCTTTTCCTGCTTGTGACAGACCACGTTCCCACTCCAATATTTGACATGAGAGAGATAGTAGCTAACACACAAAGCCCAGGGCTCAGAAGAGACCCAAACTATCAAGGTAGCTGGCCTGACAACAGGCTCAAGGGGCACATGTTGAATACTATCAAAATGTCTGCACCTCTTTTCAGGAAGTTTCATTATAGACCCACTGACAGAGAAGAACAAGGATGTTTACCCCAAATATGTAGAGCTAAATGGAAAATTCGTTTACTTCTATGTGTTAAGTAAGACCTTTCAACTTATATATGCATAAAACCAAGGAAGTTTTTTTGTGGATCAGAGAGATGGCCTGGCAAATAAAGGCCACGCCATCCTGATAACTATATTTCGATCCCAAAATCCATGAAGGATTTTTTTTTATATTGGTGACTTTTCCTCTTAGATATTAAATCTGGCCCCTTGTCTTCTCCTCACTTCTGTAAATGCAGCTCCTACACTTTTGGATTTCACAGACCTTAAGACCATGAGCCAGCATAAACCACTTTATTCTACATTCTGTTATGACAGAAAGTAGGCTAAGACTGAAGACTGAAAACTGGTATCAAGTTGGAAAAACAGAGGGATTTTTTTCCTATCAAAGAAGGTTTTGTTCTAATATGTAGTTAACGCAGCAAGGACTCCTTATTTCCAGAACCATCCTCTTTGTGACAATTACCCAATAGCCTCAGATTGTGAAGTCTAACCCCCACCAGCAGGATGAGATACCACCTATGACGTCACCACCAACTTCAGAGATAAAAGACAGAAACTATCCTGGACAAGTGTGTTTGCTAGTCTGGTTTGGGTTCTGGTGCAGCCTTTTTGCACAAATAATGATCTTATGTTTTCTATAAGATTAATGTGAGAATTTAAAAAGCCATTTAGTTTAACAGTGTGTATGTGAGTAATAGTCACTTATTATGTGTGGAGTTTTGATTCAGGTTTCTTTTATTGCAATGGTGTTATACAGCACTATCTGTAAGTCGGATAGCTGCCATCATCCTCAGATCAGCCATGTCTGCTTCTAAAAGATCATGACTGAGATCCTTGATTATTGGCAACCCTTAGGAGAAGATGAGAGGGTTACTCAAACCTCATTTGCATATACAGCCACACCTCCCAGACAAATTGGTCTCCAGGTTGAAGTTTGGTGAAATCAAATGTTAGTCATTGTGACCTTATGAGGAAAGAATAAACATTACATTGTCCTCTCTTCTACACACTCTTCCCTGAGAAAAAATTATCAAAAGAGATAATAAATTCACATGTTAATGTTATATCTCACAGTATTAAGAAAGAAAACAAGTAAGTAAAAGACAATGTTAGAAGGATGTAAACAGAAAAATGGAAGATTAGGATGATGGATGTTTCTAGAATGAATGTCTTAGTTGGGGTTATGTGGGAAACACCATGACCAAAAGCAAGTTGGGGAGGAAAGAATTTGTTTGGCCTACATTTCCACCTCACAGTTCATCACTGAAGGAAATCAGGACAGGAACTCACTCAGAGCAAGAACCTGGAGGCAGGAGCTGATGCAGAGGCCATGGTGGGGTGCTGCTTACTGGCTGGCTCCACATGGCTTGCTCAGCCTGCTTTCTTATAAGACCCAGATCAAGCAGGTCAGGGGTGGCTCTACCTACAGTAGGCTGGGCTCTCCCACATCAATCATGAATTAGGAAAATGCCTTACAGATTTGCCTACAGCTAGATCTTATGAAGACGTTTTCTCAACTGAGGCTCCCTCCTCTCCAATAACTCTAGCTTGTGTCAAGTTGACATAAAACTAGCCATCACAATAAAAAGAAAATTAGAAAGCTTATGCAAGTTTCATATATATATATATATATATATATATAGAGAGAGAGAGAGAGAGAGAGAGAGAGAGAAAGAGAGAGAGAGAGAGAGAGAGACTTAGAGTTAATGTATTAAAATTTCTAATGTCAAAAGTTAATACATGATGTTAAGCCTCCTATTCTTAGCCTATTCTCTACATAGGCTAGTGACTATTGCCTTTACTTCCTTCTCACATCTTTTTCTAGACACCAGGCAAGGACTTCCTTTTCTCTTGATATCTGACAGTCTAGATGCACCCCAAAACTGTCACACTAAACACCCCAAATTAATCTGGAAGAAGCAACTTCAGCCATTGCTCTGATTCTATAATGACTCTCGCAGGAAATAATAAGATCAAGAGGTAGATATTGGCTAGACAATTTAGACAGATCAAGAAGAGTGCCTGGTTTCCTTGTTAGTCAAAGCCAAAAAATGTCCTTGGGACCCTTGGCAGTCTCATCCCTGCCAGAGACTAGATATGCCAAAAGTGTGATCCCAGTCCTGATCTCTGAGCTGGTTCCTAAATGACTTTAAGGTTAAGGTGGGTTCACCTTAACTCATTAGAAGACCATCTCTCACCATAACAATCTATTTGGGCTGGAAAAGTGACTAGGAGGTTAAGAGCACTGGCCACTTTCTCAGAGAACCCAAGGTTCGATTCCTAGTATCCACACGGCAGCTCACAACCATGTGTAACTCCAGGTCCAGGGAACCTGATGCCTTCCTCTGGCTTCCACCATCACCAGGCACACAGTGATGCACAAATGTGCACGCAGGGAAAATCCCTGTACACATAAAATTTAATTTTTTAAATAACAATTTACTCTTTCTAGAGACTTCAAATGGTCATTATATGCTAGCTAAGTTTGAAAAAAAAACCTATAAAGAAGAGGGAAATATTAGAAAAAATCTTTTCTCTATCAAAGTTATAGTTGTGGTGGTTGTTGCTGCTGCTGCTGCTGTTTTATCAAAGGTAACCTGGAAGTGACTCATATGTCCTGGACCTTCCCTTCTGTGTGAAGTCAAGCTCCTACCAGTGGGCTGAATCATCACCTGTGTAAGGAAGGAAAGACAGAAACCATCTTTGCCAAGTGTGCTTGGTAGCTGTGCTGGGGTTCTGTTATGGTTTGAATGAGAATGGCTCACATGTTTGAATACCTGATCTACATCTGGTGGGATCCTTAATTTGGGAAAGATCAGAATGTGTGGCCTCATTGCAGCAGGAGTGTCACTGAGGGCGTCTTTGAGGGTTCAGAAGACTTTTGCCTGTTCCCAGTATGCTCTCCGCCTCCTGCTTATTATTTAAGATGTGAACTCTCAACCTCTGCCTTCACTCTGCCATCATGGACTCCAACCCTCTGAAAATGTGTCCAGTGAAACACTTCATTTATAAGCTGCTTTGATCATGTTTTATCACAGCAACAGAAAAGTACTATGAGTAGGGTATTGCCGTGACAGGCCTGACCATGTGAAAACTTCCGGGGCTTTGGACTAGAAAGGTGTTTGAATTCTGTAAGTGGGGCTTGATAGGCCATCTGGTAAGAGATCGGAAGGTGGTAGGACAGAGCAGCGTGGACTCTGGAAGCCCAGCTCAAGAGGTTTCAGAAGAGAACAGTATTGGCACCTGGAGTGGAGACCATTCTTGTGATATTTTTGGTGAAGACTGTAACTGGTTTGTGCATTTGTCCTAAGACTTTACCTGAGACGAAACTGAACAGTAATAGACTGATTTGGCAAAGGAGATTTCACGATGCCCTAACATTTGCCCTGTTTCACAGGTTTTTGTAATCAGTCTTATGCATTTCGACAAAGGGGGAAAAAAAGAGCAAGCAGGGGGAAAAAAAACAAATGTACAGTTTGAAGAGGAAAAAAGATCATCAGAAAATGTTGGGGCCAAGGCTTTTGCTACAAGAGATAAGGAGATTAAGGAGAAACCAGGTCTGAAATAAAATTGAGGGAGTGGGGGATAGCCCTCAGGGAAGACTCTACCCAGATAAGCTTCCAACTTGTGAAACAAAAAGGCCTAAGGGGTTTTCATTTCCCATGTGATTCAAGGAATTCAGGCAGCCAGCCAAACATAGCAATGTTGTTCACATGACTCTGGCTTTAGAGTCATAAAGGACCCTAAGGTTACCGCTAAGGTTAAGATGTGAGGCCCTAAGTAGCAGGCTAGCCTCCGCCTGGAGGCCTTAAGAAGCTGTTTTGTAAAGCTGTAAAAGTTACTCCTGGATTGCATTGGAGTCCCCAGGATGTTAAAGATGTCACAGCCACAGGGTATCTGCCAGTGAGAGCTACATATAAGAAGTGGAACCAGCCTAAGAGAGAAGAATGTTATAGGCAGCAAAGTTGGAAAGGCAGAGCCATTTATGCCCTTATACATCAGTCATGAAGCTACAGGATTTGGATTTGCCCTGCTAGGTTTTGGTTTTTCTTTA